CCTCAAAGACTGGCCCCTGCGGAGCATCAGGGCGGGGACTTGTTAGTTAGGAATGCAAGTTCTCAGATGCCTCCAGGCTCCAATTCAGATACCTGAGGCCGGGCCCACAGTCTGTATTTTGACAAGACCCCCTGGGGGGTTCTCACACACGCTCAGGTTTGCTTCCTCCTGCAACAGGTGGGAACCGGGTCTGAGCCATAAATGGAGTCTTAGAAGCTGAGTTGTCCCAGGCTTGCTGGGGTTCAGGACTTAATGAAAACAGGGCTAGGGCATGCTGGGGGTCTGACGTCTGTGAACTGGTTTTACTGATTCAAGAAACGTTAGTGATCTCAGCACCGTCAGCCACGTCTCAGCTCTGTGCCCTCTCCCCTTCGATGCTCATAGTGTCCCCGGGTGACCTGCTCAGCTCAGAGGACTGGTAGCCAGGGCCTCCAGGAGTCTGTTCTTTCCATCTGTAGACCCCAGACCCTTCCCTGAGTCTCCCAACTACAAGGCCAGGGATGCTTGGGGCATAGTTAAGGGTATAGGCCCTCTCACCCTCCCCAGGGACAGGGAGCAAGCCCATGTCTGATGGGGCGGGGCAGGGATGTGAGGGACATTAATTCACAGATCCAGAAAGTGCACCACCTGATAGGAGACCAGGGAGAAGAAGCAAGTGCTGTGTGTGTGTGTGTGTGTGTGTGTGTGTGTGTGTGTGTGAAGTGTGTGTGGGCGTTTCTGCCTGCAGTTGTGCATCCTCTCAAGCCTGCTGCTGTGGGTGCCCATCCGGGGCCTGCGTGGGAACCTGTTGGGGTAGACATGCTGCCTACCTCTCCTTTCTCCACCTCCTCTCGGTCCCAGCTGCCAGAGGTGCTCAGCAGTGGTCACGAGCTCCCAGAGTCTCTGCAGACTCCACCTGGGGAAGAAGCTACCAAGTGGAGCAAGATCAGAGAAGATCTGTCCTCCCTGAAGGTGGTCTCTCTGCAGTTGCGGGGGGAAGACGGCAGCATCTGGAACTACAAGCCCCCCGCCGAGGGCAGTGGGAAAGAGATCTTCTCCCTGCTGCCTCACATGGCTGACATGTCAACCTACATGTTCAAAGGCATCATCAACTTTGCCAAAGTCATCTCCCACTTCAGGTGGGGCACAGGGGCTGGGTGGAGGATGGGTATGGGAAGGAGCAGAAAATGGCCAACAGGTTCAAAGGCTCTGGGCTAGATCCTCCTGAAGTTGGGTGATGTTGGTGCCCAAAGACCCTTCTTTGTCTCTGCCCCCCAACTCCGGGGACCTGGCACTGGGGGGGAATGGAGCCCCTGCTGCATGGCTCCTTAGTTGGGGGACAGTGAGCCGGCCCTTTAATCCCACTGGGTCTCAGCCCCCTCATCTACTAGAAGGAGCTAACGATGCCCACTTGCTGGGCTGTCCTATGAAATAAGAAAAGATCTGAAGAGCATCCAGCTCATATATGATGGACAGTCAGTAGTCATTCCCTCCCCTATTGCTCCCCAAACGGGCAGGAATCACAGCTTGGCAGTTCCAGAACAAGGAGAGTTGGAAGGAAAGGGAAGGAAGTCCAGAGGGAGGAGAGAGGCAGGCACAGACACCGGGTCTCTAGCAGTCACCGTCAGAGGTGGTTGAGAAGGACCTGAGGAGGAAGGGCAGTCCTAAGAACCAGGTCAGGATTCCCCACAGCGAGGTGTGGGGGCAACAGCCATGGGGCAGCAGGGCAGCGAGAAACCCCGGATCCTCCTGCTGTGTGGCACACGCTGCCCTGTGACACGTAACCTGTCCGGGCTGGAGATGGTGCTGGGCATACCTGTTCCGGGGTGGCCGCCTGGCCTTGCCAGGCCTGCTCAGGTGCAGCCGAACAACACACGAGAGCCTGATCTCCTCAGCAGGCAGGGGGCAGCTCTATTCCAGGAGCCCAGGGGTGACACATAGGACTTATCCACAGGCTGGAATGGAGGTCAGATTGTGGCAATGAGGTCAAAGGAGCAGGAGTAAGTCCTACCTACGCTTGTGGACCTTGACGGTCCCCACCGACACCCAGTGGCCGTGGTACAACACTAGGATGGGAGGCCACTCACCCAGTCCCACGGCCACAGTTCTGAGCACAACCGCCCAGGAGCTGGCATTGCGATCACCCTCGGTCCACAGAGAGAAAGCAGTTCACTGAGCCAAGGCACTCGCACAGGCTCACAGCTCACAGAGGCCAGAGTTGGGAGCACAGAGTACAGAGTTCAGGGCCACTACCTGCCCGTCCCGGGCTGGGGCCTGGGGAGAGAAGGCGAGTATAATCGATTTCACATTTCACGGCATCTGTCGCTCCGTAGAGTGGATCTGAAAGAAGAGGGTGCATGGAGCTCGTGCCAAAGGAGTGGCAGCGGGAGAAGGACCCCGTACAGACGTCTAGGAGGCAGAGACAGCTTGGCCTGAAGGATTAGCAGGGTTTAGTCAAGTGAAGCTAAAGAGGCAATCACTCCATGTGGGGAAACTGAGGCAGGAAGGATGAGGCCAGGGACCAGGAGCCAAGGCATCGGCTGTGGGTCAGTGGCTGTGCAGGGAGTTGGAGGAGAGGGGGCTAGGCTGGAAGGGACGTCTGTCAGTGGGGAGTCCCTGAGGTGGGGGAGGCTGGAGAAAGGGGCAGGGAGGGGTGACCTGCTTGGCTGGGTTGTGAGGGACAGAGATTGGAGGCAACCAAAAGCAACTGGAGTAATCCTCAGGGCTGGAGCCCATCCTGCCCCTGCCCTTTCCCCCGATTTCTGGATTGTGGGAGTGGGGCTGGCCAGTGGCGGCTCCCCTCCCAGGCTCCCCTCTCATCCCCTCTGCCAGGGACCTGCCCATCGAGGACCAGATCTCCCTGCTGAAGGGCGCCGCCTTTGAGCTGTGCCAGCTGAGGTTCAACACGGTGTTCAACGCGGAGACCGGGACCTGGGAGTGTGGCCGGCTGTCCTACTGCTTGGAAGACCCTGCAGGTGCCCAAGAGCCTCCTGCCTGCCCTGGCAGAGGGAGGGAATCAGCCGGGCAGGGGAGAGGAGCCAGCCGCGATGTGCATGTCCTGGGACCGCAGGGCAGAAGACCTGGGTGAGGGAGGCCTGGGACTGGGTCCTCATGCCGCACCCACCCACAGAGGGCTTCCAGCAGCTGCTGCTGGAGCCGATGCTGAAGTTCCACTACATGCTGAAGGAGCTGCGGCTGCGCGAGGAGGAGTACGTGCTCATGCAGGCCATCTCCCTCTTCTCCCCAGGTGGGGACCCCGCGGCGCTCAGCCTCCCCCCGCCCCCCACCCCGAGGCTTGCTCGACGGGGGGGGGTTGCATCGAGGGGATGGGGTTTATATTGTTTATATTTTGTTTTGTTTGAGGCATAAAGGTGGTGTGGGGGTCATATCCCTAAGGAACGAGGTACCCGATATCAGACAAATAAGTAGTGATCACCGAAAATGTACGCCGCGTGACACCATTGCTCGCCCACCCAACAACCCGCCACATTTATAGTGTCTTAGTTGTAGATATAGTTTATTATTATGTGTAATTTGACTCGCAGATGTGATACGCACAGGAAGTCTCTAAATAGCGGTCGAACAGGTATCCTGCCGACCTGACACTCGCAACCGCACAAGACGACAGCACGACTGCGCGTCCCCGACTTCGTTCAGCAGCACGGA